CCTCCTCTGTCCATCCACCCAGCTTTAACCCCACCCGAGCAGGCCTGCCAGTCTGTGGGCACAGTGCCTCCTCTCTCCATCCACTCAGCCCTAACCCCACCCAAGCAGGCCTGCCAGTCTGTGGGCACAGTGCCTCCTCTGTCCATCCACTCAGCTCTAACCCCAGCCAAGCAGGCCTGTCAGAAAGTGATCATTTGTAAATGATAGTTGCAAATATGCTGATATTCTCTCATGCATAATATTTAAGCCTGTAGAACTGACTCATACTGAATTAACCAACATGTAGTTTATTGATAGACTGGTTCAGCAGTCTGTCAAGCCTTCATTTAATATTTCCCAGAGAAATATTTAACACTCAGCCAGCAGACTTTTTAAATGCTAAATCCTAGTAATGACCCAAGGGAACCTGTGAGCTAAACGAATTAATATTTTCTAGATGGGTTGCTTATTGTTTCCATATATTTTCCAAAAGAAAATACATACATTTGTGCAGATCATTCACACTTATACAATCATGTTTGGACAGCAGTAGATCAATTTGCCTGCACCAAACCATCTCTGCACCAGCTAGCCCCGCCCTCCCCAATACTACCTCTTACACTCAGCCTGGGTTTATGAAGTCTGGTGTTTCTTTTAGCACTTAATTGTTTTTCTGGAAATCACTTCAGGCTGCCAAGAAGGACACATTTGAACCCTAATGCAACCACCTGTGACAATTTAAAAGGACGTCTCGACACCCAAACACAACACAAAGTCAATAGGGGCAGAGCCACGCTAAACTCTCGCTGTCACCCTGTAGCCACTAGTAGACATGAAGGTAAGCATTTCAACAGATGCCATCTCCTTTTGCAGATCTACTTTGCGAGACTGTTTTGGACGTTTTTTGTGAAAGCTGAAAACAAACTAAAGCTCTTTAACAGGTTTATGACTTGATGAGATGAGTTTACTATCTGTTGTGTTTTTGTCATCATCTGTGAAGATGTTTTGCTGTAATGCTGACGAGAGATGACAGACCAATCTGCCCATCTCCTACGTTCCACACCTGTCACAAGGTGGCAACTAGAACCATACCACAAGGTGGCAACTAGAACCATACCACATAATACGAACTGTTAGAACCATACCACATAATACGAACAGTTCCAGGAAATGATGTGTCTCCATGAAATACCCTTAAAGGTTTAAGATACCTTCATGATATGAAGCAGCTTAGCATGACCACATGTGTGTTGAAAAGCTGGGTTATTGCATCACATAAAATATTCACGACATCTGGACCACATGTGCCAATATAGTATGAAAGAGGTGCTGCGGGGGAGACTTAAACTTAATATGAAAAGTTAAATTATTAAAAGCCCCCATAAATGTATACACCTCAAGACCACTGCCCTAAAAAATGTTATGGGATTTGTGGCATTGTGGGATACACTTACAGGCATGTGGTCCATGGAAGCTGACAGGGACAATGGGCTCCATTTGTTTTAGAATGGATATGGGTTGCAGTCCATATGTAATGTGTGTGTGTGTGCGCATGTGTGTGTGTGTGTGTGTGTGTGAGCGGGTTTACCTAGGGTGACCAGATAATCCATGTCAGGGAGGACACTTTGAGCTACTTCGGGTTTTACAAACTACTTTCAAACTGAAAGGCTCCTGTGCTCTGCTAAATAGTTCTGCTCTTCTTGTGCTTTGACTGGTTTGTTTCCTTGACTGAAAGACTCATCCAGCTGTTTCACATTAGTATTAGTGGCACATGCATGATTATAGGAGACTGACCAATCAGCACACAGCAAGAACTCAGTGCTCAAGTGAAATCCAGGTCCTTTTAATTGAAATGGTAATTTACAATTCCTGTCCTAGCGCAGAGTGTCCTCCCTGACATGGATTTTCTGGTCACCCTAGTTTACCTATCCTTATGGGGACATAATGTCCCCATAACGTGATAAATAGCCGTTTTTTTCCCTTATGGGGACCGGTTTCCTGGTCCCCATAAGGGAAAACTCTATTTTATAAAAATCGGTGACTGCTATGAAAAAACTAAAAATGCAAAAACTCTTGTATTTTGTTAGGTTACTTATGGTTATGGTTAGGGCAGGGAAGGGGTTAAGGTTCTCATAGTTAGCGTTAGCATTTTTCCCATTCAAATGAATGAGCGGTCCCCATAAGGATATGTTTACCCTACATGTGTGTGCGTGTGTGTGTGGATTAGGTTTTTTATTAAATTTAATAAAGTTTTTCTTAAATGGTAAAAACACGTTATTTTGACGTTATGGAGACGACATTTTCACACTCCACACAGAGCTGTGAATGCAAACAAAAAACTAAAAATGCCGAAAGTCTCGTATTTTGTTTGGTTACTTATGGTTAAGGTTAGGGCTGGGTAGGGGTTAATTAAGGGTGTCGTGATTGGGATGAGGGGTTTGCCCACAGAAATGAATGGAAGGTCCTGATTTAGGTAGATATGCCAAAGTGTGTCTGTGTGTGTGTGTTGGGGTGGGATGGGGGGGAGGAGCTTATCAGAGCAGTGCAGATGCTGAAATGTTCTGATATCCCGGCATAATGTTGTATGCAGACTGTTGAATGTTCCTTCAAACATGTGGATAAGAGGAGAAATAAGCCTATATCTGCGTGACAAGAAGAGCTAATAACTGCTTAAGATGCAAAATCGTGGCTCATAGTGGTGGGAAGGGATTCCTGTCCTTCAATAAAGCTTGAAATGTGATGCCACACTTGTTTGTCCTTCCATGAATTCTGGGCATGGAGGGGTTCTGAAGGCAACAAGGTTCTCTTTGTCATGGCTGGGAAGTTTAAATCACTGAGTTTTTACAATTTCATAGCATCACATTTAGGAGCTTAATGCATTATCAGTGCTATAATCACAGCCATAAACATCCACCCTTCACTTTCAAATCGTTCAGAATTTTTCACAAACATTATTTTATAGAATACTTATAGAATTTAATCGTTCTGCAGATCTTTATAGAATTTAACCGAGTACAAATAAGTTCTGGAATAAAGTGAAACACATGGTGTTATGTGGCAAGAAAATGCCCCCAAAATAACCACAGAAATGATCCATCTGAAAGTGGTTCCCAAATGACAAACATATTTACTGAATGTCTCCTCTTCGAAGCCCTTAAACCCAGAGTCGCACACTCTTTATGCTGATAAATATGCAAGTTGAGGGCATCACATGTACTAAATCCACATGAAACCTCTGTTCCTAACAGCTTCACTTCAGTATTTAATGGAGGTCAGTATCACAGACTGACATCCCATGCAGGGTGAGCTCTGCCCTGGGCCATGTACTGTCTGAGATGGGCTCCAGGCCACCCCATGACCCTGACTAGGGTAAGAAGTTGGAAGATAGGGGGATGGATGGATGGATGGACATGAGGCTAATTACCAGTTGTACTAATTAGGCCTAACGTAATGAAAACCAACACACACAGCTTTCCATTAACTCAATATGAAACGTTTCTGGTAGCCCACCTTAAATGTTAAATGTGTCGATATCCCGGTAATGCCCCTTCCCCACACCCACAAAGGCTACACCCTTCACTTCATTTTTTACCGTGTATTGAGGTGCGAGCCGTTGCCGTGGATTCATTGCTCCACGAAATAAAAATGTAATCATGCCTCTATGAGGTCAGTGGCGCTGCCCTTTGCCCTGGCGGCCTCCCTTTGACGCAGGTCCCTTTCCTGTGCCAGTGAGATCTTTATTGTTCTGAGAAACCAGTCTTCAGAATCTCCATCCACCAGCCGCCTCCTGCTTCCTCTCCGAGAGGAAATGCTGTGTCGCCTTTTTTGGGCCATCCTGCAAAATTAAGTTCTAAATTAAACTGGATTTGTCCAGCTTTGATTTCAAGTAAAGAAAAAGAAAAATTAGTGAAGCTGATTCCGTGAACCCAAACGGCACTGCAAGCTCTCTGATGAGTTGGTGCTAAGCACTGGATTTGTTCTTCAGTTTCAGCTAGATTATGTTCCCTAATTTGTCTTTTTTGTTATCATTGTCAAAAACAAAGCGAAGGGACCGTAGATATTGTTGCTTCTTTGCCATTATTTGTGAGACTGGCTGTCTACAACACATAGTCCAAAGATTTGCCTTGACTAAACCAATGATTTATGATTATATACAGTGACTAAGATCATTTTTAAGTTTACTTCTCAAATTAGTTCCTGTTATATTTGACTTTTTTTGTTACATATTTCTATTTATTAAAACCATCTGAACTTGAATTTGTTTGAATTAATTCATTTTAAAAATAAATTGTTGACAGTTAAATTTTGACCACAATTATAACAACTGATAAAAAAATAGCTACTGTTAAGACAAAATGATTTGAATTTGCATTTTAATGTAGCATATCTGTAAGGCAAAAAGTGTAAAAAGTTCTTTTGACTATATAGTTTATTTATTTATTTATTTATTTTTAATTAAATTAATACCAAAACGATGCAGGCTGAGTATTGTGAAAATGGGACAGTTAAACTCTGCAGTTATATATATATATATATATATATATATATATATATATATATATATATATATATGTGTGTGTGTGTGTTTAGTTATATTTTATTTTTTTCTTCTATATAGTGTTCAAGGGCCATTAATGTATTTAGAATAGTATCAAGTTGGGATTCAAGAGATTGAGGTGATTTTTGTCATGAAGTGTCCCATTTCAATAATACCCTGTTCGCTTCCTCCAACATATGTGACATATATGCTATTAAAAATAGCCTATATAACACAAAACTCTAATATCTGCAGGACAGCATTAGTGAACGAAACTTGTCAATAACACAAAATGCTTAAGGCCATTTTCAGTGTTATATTGCAGAAGTTTCTAAAAGCTTTCAGTCCGTATATCTAGTAAAAATGTGATTCATTAAGCAATTTCAACAGGATGGACTCTTTTTTTCTGCAAAATAGTTTATCAGTTCGAAGCATACACGGGAATTCCGGTTTGGGACTGTCCCCCTAATTCCTGACTTCCACAGGAAGGCTAGCATAAATAGCAATTCCAAAACGTGCAGAGGCATTTCATTTCTCTCCAGTCGCTAGACAAGGAGCGCCAAGAAACTAACCATGGCTTATATCCTAATGAAACATTGGAATGAATTAAAAGAAATTGAAAGTATGGACGCCTCAGCTAAACGGCATGACAAGTGGTTGGACTTGGTGTCTACGGTCACAGCTGTTCAAATACTCAGAAAGCATCGTACAGAACCGCAGACTCGGGTAAGCACATTTTCCTTACAAAGATCTATTTATACAGGTAACGAAAAGGTATAATGCTAAGATTATATTTTATTTGATCATTTTATTATTATTATTATTTACAGTATCGTCATTCGACTTATAAATTCTTGAAATAAATAGCATTTATCAGCTATTCATTCGCATTTTGCATTGCAGTGATGTGCCGTCGCGCATCTTTTGATCTAAATACAGAAATACAAACATCCTTTGAAAACGCCCTCATAGATCGACACACCCTTTACTTTTAATGGGTGCGAGCAGCATGAACAGTTTCCGTTGAAAGGTAACTGCTGGTCTGTGTTGTTAGACAAATTAAGGCGTAAAAAATTCAGAAGTTAGAAAGTAAAATGGAACTCTAAAAGGCAGGTATTCTCTTTAGGATTATGAAGAGAGAAGTCCATCACTTATCTTAATTTTCATTTAGTGTTTCGGTGCCCGTTAATAGCACTGAAGATGGCAGATAATATAATATTCCTTCCGCTATCCAAATAAGTTAGCAACTTATTTAGATTCAGTTCCGTTGAGCCAATGTATATGTCCTGTGGCCAAAGAGTAGTAGCCTAAAGAAGAGACATATAACACTTAAATGTTTCAAACCTTCTTTTAAAGTGATATACAGTATATTCTGCAGTATGATTAAAATGATCAGTGCTTTCATCTGCAGTATTTTAGAACATCCACTTTGCACATAAAGCAAACGAAGAATTAGTTATAAACAGCCAACTGCATTTATTACTCCTTTAAAAGTGACACTTTCTCTTAGCCGGGTCTTGCATGGAGGGTGAGGCTGTGCACTGAACTCCTAACGGATCGCCTATAATCTTTGGTTTAGGGAAACACAGGAGGCGATGGCGAGTGAAGGAATCAGAGGCTCTCGGAAATGATGAGGCGAATAAAAGGTACGGCTGCATATTTACAACATGGACTAAATATTATTTGTTGCTGTTTGTAGTTTGCCGTTCCAATTTAAATTCTTCCTCTATTTTAAAATTTGTAAAGCTTGGAATAAATGCACCGAGATTGTCAAACCTGGTACTCAGAAAAGGTTGCGGTGTACAAACATCCTAGAATTAGAAGACGGAATCCCAGATTTATTGCGTCACAATGGGTGTTTCCCCAACCTGCAGCCGTGGTGACGGGGCTGCTCGAACTGAGGCAAGCTAGGGTGCCCCCTGCGTACTCTCACCATTTCTGTTAAACCCGAAAGACAGCGATCCTGCATCTTCCCAACTTCACTTCTGAAGTCACTTGTGTTTCACGCAAGACGGAAATTCATATCTGAGAATACCACGCTTGTTTGATCATTTGGTTTATAAGCATTCCGTTCTGCACAGATATACAGACACGATATCTGTGTTTGGGACTTGCTTTGGAAACTGTTAACTTTGCTAACAGGGATGCGATAGATCATATCACTGAATCTGCTGCAACATTCAGTAACAAAGAAGTCGCGGAGAATAAAGTTGCGCTACAAAACAGGTAATTTGATGCTGTTAGTCTCTTTATAGCACTCCATGCAAGCCTAAGCATGCGGTCATTAATTTTTTTTTTTTTTTAAAAAACGGGAAATGACTTATTTTTCATGTATGTAGATATGAATGTGTAATGTTTTTTTTTCTATACATGACGGGAAATGCCGTGGAAAAGAGTGTTTTGTTTAAATGACAAGAGACTATGGTCTTTATAGTTCCATCCTTTCCTTTGTTGATGTGCTTACCAAGGTAAGAAACAATGCATCTTTAGCGGCCGTTTGCGGTTTACCTATTTATTGTGAACTGGCGCTCTCTGTTGGTCAACAGATATCCAGTGCTGTACGATTCATTAGTAAACGATATATATATATATATATATATATATATATATATATATATATATATATATATATATATACACACACACACACATACATACATATATATATATATATATATATATATATATATATATATATATAATTTCCCCCCCCCTTTTGGATGGTAGTTCAGTTCAGCTGATGTTGCATTTCTTTATCCGTTGATCGGCCGTCGTAGCGTTTTTCCCCGCTTTTGTTTACGTTAAGGAAAAGCCTTGTTAAATTCCTCTTATCTTAGCAATCCGATTTCCTCATTCCATTCCAGGCCTGAGTAAGTAGCGATTCTCTGCTTGAAGAGGTATGATTGACTGAAGCGGTAACCCCACCAAGAGGGTTATGACCTCAGCCCCCCTCGGCCCTTTTCTCAGTGAGCGATTCTGAAAAGTGCCCATAGCGGGCTGGTCCTGCAGCCACCTCTGCTACGGCGGCCATTGTCTCTTAAAGAATGATCGCGCCAGGAAGTAGATGCCTTTACAAAACTTTTGGCTAATTAGTTTTTTTCTTATTCTTCTTTGAACCCAAGAAAAACCTTTCCTGTCAAATGACAGGCAACTTTTTTGTCTGCCAAGGTTCACAGAACAACCCATCACTCACACGTTATAATAAAAATACACAATAAAGTTTGCTTTCTGTCCCTCTAATGAATATGAGACTATACATCTCTCAGATTTTTGCTCTTCTTTCCATTGAAAACCGTGAATTTTTTCCCCACTTTATTTATTTTTTTATCATTGGTCATTTAAATTCTTAATGTGACGATGGCTTTGATGGTTGGCCAGTTAGTGAATGGATTTTTTTAGCCTGCCTTATTCAAATGAAATTAAGTATAATTTGTAGTAAGTATAACCCTTGGCAGCCACTGGCAGTTAGTGGCAAACATTAAAAATGGTGGCGTTGCCTTTGTTTAGCCAGCAGAACATCCCTTGGCTTCATAATGAGTGTTCAGGGGTCAGACATCATCACTGGTGATGTATCTCCCATGAACTACAACCAGCTAGGAGGTTATGTACGTAAAGGCACGTATACCTGACAAAGGCACGTATACCTGACAAAGGCACGTATACCTGACATGGCATAGTTAATAATGAAATTTGTTGTTTACTAAAGCATGTTTTATGTCCTGTCCACAGCTTATTCACAGCTTGGCAGATACTGAATACATTTTTAGATTAAATGTTTGGATTTGCCTGTGTAAATTAGTGCTGTTCCTGTACAGTATGTGGATCAGTTTTTCTACTGAACCGTTGTTTTTATAAATAGATAGATGACTGTGTTTGGGTGATAATATGCAAGTCAGAATGTTTGCAGGTATGCAGGTTAAAATTCCCAGTGTGAAATGCAGACCACCCCCTGAACGTGTGCAGTGTGAGGGGGCTCAGGGGGTCTTTTGCTGGGGATCCTGGCTGGGATTGTGGTCCAGCCCAGGCGGAGTAGATGCCGTGTTCAATCTGCCAGAGCCAATGTCTGGCAATCTGTTGCGCGCTGCAGTACAGCATGTGGCCAAGTCTGTCTCAGCGGTTCAAAAACAAACCCCATTGAGATTCTGTCCCTTGACGCTTCTCCCTGTATTTGTTATCTAATGCTGTGAGTAACGTTGTAATGTTGCTCAAAGTTGTTTATGAATTATAAATACCATTTTAGCTTAGAGAAATATTAATAATTTTGGCAGTAGTAATTCTTACATAACAGATCAGATTTTTAACTAATAAGGGTGACAAAGAGCTGATTAGCTGCAGTAAGCAGTAATAGATGATTTGTATCTATAAGCCTGTGTCATTCTTTGATTAATATGTTTATTGTTATCACTGGTTTCATGTTGTGATGGTGTTTTAGTGGATGGACAGAGTGTGGTACAGTAATGTATATTCATGGTGTATTTCATGAGGTCTGGGAGCTGTTCTGTGCCACATTAACCTGCTCAGACTCAGAAGTCCACTTGCAGCCAAGACCCAAGGCTGGCATAGAGGAAACTTCTCAGCAAATACAGACCAGGCTGCTCATCCCACCAGCAAAGAGCCAAGCATAAATTAAGAAGAAAAAACGTGCTGTCTGTCTGCCAGTGCTGCTCTTCTCATTCAACTGTTTAGAAACAGGCCAGATGCTGTGTTGATGAGCTTTGCTGATGCTCAAAATGTTTGTGACCTTAGAAGCCCATGTGTACCTGATTGAACGTCATAGGGAAATGTCAGACATTTGTGCTTTTTAATTATGTGGTAATGTAGCAAGCAAAAGAGTCTCTGACATCATGCAACTGCCTCATTGTATCTGGGTTATTTTCTTTCTATACCGCCATCCAGTGGTACTTGCTCCCATAGTATTTATGGCCTCTTCACTGAAATGGTAAAATCACACAGCTGCTAGCCATCTGTAACATTTAAGGGCCATTGATGACATTTGGGTACTAGCAATTACTTGCTTTTAGAAGGTCTATTGTCTTTGATCATTAAATTAAGAAAAACAGGTATACATTAAAGGTTTTGTTTTAGTGTGAACTGGTGATTGTAGAGGTATCTCTTTGGAGTAACCTTTTTTATGATCGAGCATTACTGCAGAGGCAGCCATAACATCCCCTGGCGCAGAACAAAATTACCTACTACCTCTATCATACAAAAGAAAAAGTACTTTCTCATATGAAAGGCATGTCTTTTCAATAATGACAGGACAGGTAGGAGTCATCTAACCAATTTAGCTTATTAATTTATTTATTAATGTTAAGTACTATGTACCACAGCCAAGGGAACGGGCTTGGCAGAATCAGCGGGGAAAGAAGACCCTGTTGAGCTTGACTCTAGTCTGGCACTGTGAAGAGACATGAGAGGTGTAGAATAAGTGGGAGGCCTCGGCCGCCGATGAAATACCACTACTCTTATCGTTTCCTCACTTACCCGGGTGCCGGGTGTTGGTGCCATTTTGAGCTCCCGCACAGGAACACTTGTCTGAGACTAGGCTGCCGTTACAGCTGCAGAATTTCATTGTCACCAAAATGAAATGAAATTTGACCAGTGTTTTCCATCTGATGCACATCTAACCAGAGTAGTTAGAGGAGAACTCTGGTGGCTCCCTGTTGCATGTGCTGGACAGTGGTACTAGGAGGGATTACCATTACTATGCCCCTCTGTTAATATTATGAGTTTCCTTGGTAACCCAAAATACTCTGCAGCACAGGTACAGACAGGTTTGATTTTGCTCTGGTTTTATGCTAAGGCTTCAAAAAGAGATTAATCTGTAAACAGGGTGAAGTGAAGCAAAGGGCATGACATATATTACATGAAAAGGGCCTTATTCCTGCCATATATTTAATTACATTTTGCAGTCAAGATTTATTAACTGTGTATGAGGCTAATGTATTTACAGAATAGTTGTTGGTTTAGCTCGAAAAGTATTTTATTATTATTATTTAAAAAAAATATTTCCCTGTAATTGCACGTATGAGTCGTATTTTCACTGTTTTGAAAGGCTGACTGATAAGGAAGCTACTAGATTTGTTTTTTTGTGTGACGGAACATAACAGATGCACAATATTCAGGTTCCCTGAGCACCTGGAATATCTTTGATGGTCACCAACTCCCCTTTTCTCTTTGGCTGTCACAGGTAGCTGGAGCTCTTTGCCAGGCGTATCAAACACCCTGAGAGAGGTCACCTCTTAGCTCCATTGTGTCCGGTGCTACGCCAACGAGGGATATTGGGAAGACAAGACTGAAAGACAGGTTGCCATGTATCTGCCACTCCTCATCCTGTCTTCCCTGCTCATTCTCCATGCATTTGCCCTGCACCACCAAGGTCAACCAGGGTAACAGCCCATAATTTTCTCTTACAATGCTCCAGGTTTTTGCTCTAAAAGTATGGACATGGACACTTCCTGCTAAATCATCCTCCTGATCTTAATTTGGTTTGTAAGAGCCTATGAAAGGTCTTCTGTAAGTTCTTTTAACCCTGAAAACAATGTGCTTGACATTAAGCTTTTGCTCAAAGGTCTGGAGGTACAGTTATGGGAAAGAGGTCACTGTACAAGTCTAACATCCCCCTTACTCCAGCCCTTAAGCTTGCTGAAGCCACAGAGCTATATTTAATGAAGGATGTAATGAAAGGCCTCTATTACACTGCGAGACACCTAAAGACCTTGAGGTCCTCATCTGGAGTCCATTTTCTGGGCCTCCTGACTTTTCACTACAGGACCTCATATCGGGGAATGTCTCAGTGGGCAATGTGTTTCGAATAAGCTGGCTGTCTCCCAGAGCCACGGCACATGCGTGCAGGGCAACACGGCTGCTGGCTGTCTCCAGAGCCACGGCACATGCGTGCAGGGCAACACGGCTGCTGAAGGGTCAGGAAGGGTCCTGTCACTCTAATTATAACTCTTTTAAAATGGTTCCATTTCACCTTACTTAACCTTATTCCAATTTTCCTGAAAACCACAGTGATTTCATGCTTTTGCATAAATGCATATGAACCAAGTTAGCTGAATAACATGAAAGCTAAGAGAGAGGTCTCTGGTGAAAACGTTCAGTAAATAAATCACACAGTGCTCAGAGAAGCATGGGCATATTTTTATGCAAAACGGAGCTTTTGATATTATTAGTTTTCATACAATCAAGTCGTTCCCGGTATTCAGATGATTCAGGAATTGAAAAACTGAAGATGTGGTACTGGAATGTGATATTTCCCTGGGCCTGTGTAGCTGATGAAATTAGCTGGAAGTCATTACAAGTGTCTGATTCTGCTGTTAAATTTTGTTCTTTTGGGTTTCCCCTCCACAGCCGGAGGGCTTGCGGCAGAGGCTCCCTGAACAAGGTCCCCGTGGTCCTTCACACAGAGTCTTTTGTACAGCCTGTCCACAAGCCTTACATCACCCACTGCCAAGGACATAGACTCTGCAGCACATACAAGTAAGCTTCAATGAAGAAGATACAGGCAACCAAGTGTTAAGAGAATGAATCACCCGCTAAGTGAGCTCAAGCCTCCCGGGCTGTGGGTTCGATTCTGCTGGGTATTTTGATTTCCTCTCACAGTGCAAAGACATGCAGTTTAGGTGAATTGGTGTCTCTGAATCACCCATCCCTGTGAAGAACTGACATGTTCTCTGGGGAAGCCCTTAGTCCTGCCCTGGAATAAGCTTCAGATCATGTGAGACATCCTAAAAACATTCCTTCCCAGACATCATGTGTCAGCCATAAATAATGTCGGCACCGTAGGTGTGTTTTGATAAGAACGTCCACGGCCCCTTACCTACTGGTCCCCGACATGTAAGTGTATGAGATACACCGAGATGAAGACAGGAAGCATGTGCCCAGAAAAATATCAGAAGAAATCTCTGTAAGCCACCTGGTCTGATCTTTCCACAGTCTCTAACGTTAACAAAATTAAAAAAACAATTTGGGGTAAAACATACCCAATTGTCACTATTCTTAATATCATATATTAATTTTATTATGGAATCACTATGATGATTAGAGGCAAATTTGTACATATACTGTATATACTGGTGTCTGATTTTATTTTTTTGGGCAAGGATGGGATAGAGGGGTTTCTGTCTTGCTGAAGGAGCATTTAAGAAGTTTCCTGATGATCTTCCCAATGCTTGGAGGGGCTGCCAGGAAAAATCTCAATGATACTTATCCTCAGCCATCAGTGTGCTGTCAGAACGGGGCGGTGGCTCTCAAGCTCCCACACAGGCCCCACGCACATGAGCACAGGCAGAACGGGCCGGCAGCCATCAGGCTCCTACACAGGCCCCACGCACATGAGCACAGGCAGAACGGGCCGGCAGCCATCGCACTCCTGCACAGGCCCCACGCAAACAAGCACAGGCAGAACGGGCCGGCAGCCATCGCGCTCCTGCACAGGCCCCACGCACATGAGCACAGGCAGAATGGGCCGGCAGCCATCGCCCTCCTGCACAGGCCCCACGCACAGGAGCACAGGCAGAACGGGCCGGCAGCCATCGTGCTCCAGCACAGGCCCCACACAAACAAGCACAGGCAGAACGGGCCGGCAGCCATCGCGCTCCTGCACAGGCCCCACGCACAGGAGCACAGGCAGAACGGGCCGGCAGCCATCGTGCTCCAGCACAGGCCCCACACAAACAAACACAGGCAGAACGGGCCGGCAGCCATCGCGCTCCTGCACAGGCCCCACACAAATAAGCACAGGCAGAACGGGCCGGCAGCCATCGCGCTCCAGCACAGGCCCCACACAAACAAGCACAGGCAGAACGGGCCGGCAGCCATTGTGCTCCCACACAGGCCCCACACACACACACACACTCATGTGGAACAGGCCGAACTGCACGTCTCACCTGGGGGGGTGGAGCCTGACCTCGATCAGTCAAACAATGTCATGTGTTAACAGGACGCTGTACAGAGTGGCCTATCGGAGTGTCAGCAGACTGACAGCAGTGGCACATTCCTACCCAGAATGCTGTCCGGGTTGGCGTAGGTTTCACTCACACAACTGTAATCAAGGTGAGGGTTTCCTGCTGTTTTTTGCAGCCTAAAATTGTATTTATTCATTTCTGTACCTGTGGTACTTTTATTTATGGGGCCATGAACCTGTGGTACTCTTATTTATGGGGTCATGAACCTGTGGTACTCTTATTTATGGGGCCATGAACCTGTGGTACTTTTATTTATGGGGCCATGAACCTGTGGTACTCTTATTTATGGGGCCATGAACCTGTGGTACTCTTATTTATGGGGCCATGAACCTGTGGTACTTTTATTTATGGGGCCATGAACCTGTGGTACTTTTATTTATGGGGCCATGAACCTGTGATACTCTTATTTATGGGGCCATGGGCTGAAAAGTTTGGGAACCTATGCTCTAAAACTCCATGTTATCCCTTCTTACAGAGATCATATTAATTACTGCATAATGTTTTGAGGAAATGCTTGCAACAAGAAGTTTGTAAAAAGATCCCCTTAAGTCTCCCTGGGTCGCATCTTGCACATTGACTGTATCTGTATGTTGCCTCTACGCCGGACCGGTTTCATGTGCCTGTCCCGCCTGTCCCCACAGCGGTGTGTGCCGAGGCGTGTGCCAACGGCGGCACGTGCTTCAGGCCCAACCAGTGCGCCTGTGTGTCAGGCTGGATGGGACGCAGCTGCCAAACAGGTAAACCAGTAAACCACGCACCCTGACCCCGGTTAACTGAAGAGCTGCATAATCACATCCTTCCATCTGATTCCGACACATTCAGGGGAAATTTGCTGGTTCCTTCTGTACACAGCTCTCACAGAATACAAAATAGTGGCTGCTTACTGTGGCAATGAATGCTCCAGAGTGGATGGATAGTGGGAAAGCCAAATTTGATGCCAGATCGATTTAAATTTAGATTAAAATTCATTTGTTATATGGTATTTTTTATTTCCATAAATTGTCCACTTACTGTAACATGCATCAAAATGCCACACATTGTCATGTCAGGAAAGTCCTGACTGACCTTTATCTGCCTGCTTTACGCTACTGTACATATCAATGCCCCTAGTGGTAATAAGAGGGACTGCAGGACCATTTACACCACCGTATTGTCCCGTGTTACAGACGTAGATGAATGCAGCAGCTCAAAGCTCTGTTCCCAGACGTGCCTGAACACCGCGGGCAGCTACCTCTGTGGATGCAGGGTGGGCTACACACTGGCTGAGGATGGACACTCCTGCCAGACGCTCCCAGCGTCCAGCCTCCCAGATGACAGCAGCAACAACAGCACAGGCGCGTCCAACACTCCCAGAGGTATAACATCGGACAGCCCAAGGAGTCCGCAGTCCTGCTGTAATGTGGAGGTACAGCCATAGTCAGTAACCTCCTTGTGAAGCCAACGGGTGTCATTAGTGGACTGATCAGATGCTTTCGGCTCTCAGTCATGAGTGCTTGGAATGCAACAGATGTGTCAACAAAGCTAGATCAGAGGTGGGACTGTGATGACTTTACACTTGCAGCAAGCGTCTTCCTGGAGGGTCTCCTACAATGGAGGAGAATAGGCTGCAGGCCCCTGTTACATTACAGGAATCAAACTCCCAGCCTCCCTGTATGTACGTGAACCTTAAGACTGGATGATAAATTCATATTTAAAACCCTTGCAGATGGGTAAAGGAAATTGCTGAGAAGAGCCTATCAGACAAACTCTCCACATTCACCCATCAGGATTATAAAGAGATGGCCTCGTATCGGATTTCTGGGAATGTGGTGGACAGCCGCCTTTCTGCCCGAGTTGTTTTCAGGCTGTGCCGCTCTCCACCGGACAGAAGAGGACGTGACCATTTCCGACTTCACGGTCCATTATTACTTTTGGTACGCGCTAGGCCACTCTCAAACTCGTACCGTGAGTAATAATGCACTGTGGCCGGTGCCGTCGACACTGACAAAGCACGGCGTTGAGCGCCTTGAAGGTTCAGTGCTGCTCAGAGTAAAGCTGGTTGTCTGTGTTCTCAATGTAGTGATTGAATCTGAAAATTTGCCCATTGAAAATGAATTCAAAACTTTGAACATGATTGAATATTAAATTCCACTAAAGATAGTTAATCATTACAGTTGAATTTAGCTGGCTTTTACAAAATAGACAGGTTTCGGATATCTACTGGAGTAATCTGAGCATTGTGCTGGCTGTACCGTATCGGTTGGGTTACATAGACAGCTGACCTCCTACAGCCTAATTCTGATACTTCATAGTGGCATAAAACTCCCTGCAGAAGGTCTGGAAGTACAAAATACAAACTGCAAAATATATCCAGCAGTCTAGAGGCAGGAATTCTGTGTTATTCTGGATCTTAAGTGACTTAAGTTAGATTTTCTTTATTGTATGACAAAAAATGAAATTGTTCATTGGGATGTTTCTTTTCACGTCCCACCTTGAGAGTACAGCTTGAGGTCCAAGCACAGGGTCAGCCATTAATCTATTGCCACTGGAGCATTTCGGGGGGGGGGGGGGTTACTCATGCCCCCAACAGAGATGTGACTATTCTGCTGGGAACAGCAGTCGAACTGGCGATCTTCCAATCACAGACACTAATGGGCCACGCGGCACACCGCCCGCACACCGCCCGTACACCGCCCGCACACCGCCCGTACACCGCCCGCACACTGCCTGTACACTCAGTATTGTAATTCACATAGCTTTTTTAGTCACTGTGATAAACTGGTCTTGATGTAGAATTTGCTTTTGCATCAGATAAGGTGAAATAGTTATCTTGGAAGTTATCTTCATAGCCTAACCAACATGTTTCTCTTAAAGTGTCACAGTTCCCCTGTTTATACAGCTGGATGTTTTATTGGGGGGGGGGTGTTTAGGTTAAGCATGTAGTTCAAGACAGCAAAAGTGGAACCACCACAAATCAGTGTCATTAACTACTATACCACCTGCTGCTGTTTAATTAGCATTAAACTTAATTGCATTTAATTAGCATAGGCGGTAACTGTACATTCCCCTTGCTTACTCATTTGAGTAGATAACATCCAAGTTTGTGTATGAATGGAGCAAAGTAGAAACCATTTCTGCAAGTTAGTCTCCCCGTGCCATGTTTGCCAGGAAATTCAGACTGGCCTGAAAAAAGGGTATTTATTGCTATTATCATTTGATCATATTCGGTAATAGAGTACACAGGACTTAGGATTTAGTTCATTCTGATTATTTTGATGCAGTATTATTTTTTACATATTCATTTTAAATAAGCATCTTTTAGATTATGTTCAGACACATCAACGGACACATTGCCTTTTGTTTGGTTTAGAACTGGTCCTAACTGTTTGCAGATTTAATCATTTTAAAACTAATTGTTGTCCCAGAGTACCAAAACTGCACTATACTGTGAATGCAAAGCCGAGATGTGTTCCAAAATGTGTTACATGTACAGCTACATGCGTAATTACTGCTGTAAATTGGGGCTGCTGTCTACTGAAAGGAGTTCTGTTTGCATTATAATGATTTCATTCAGGAGTGCAACAACATAAGAAAAATGTGTCTTTTCCTTCAACATCCAGTATCCTGTAGCTGGAATAGACTTGCAGCTAATGGGTGTGTCCTCAGCGGGGTTGAACACTACTCTAACATGGACAGCAGTATGGAAACAGTCATGTTGGAGATACCTGCTGCACCTGTCATGTTAAAATCTGATACAGCTGCATGCCGCTCATGGTACAGAAAAATTCCACTCATGGTACAGAATCATGCCGCTCATGGTACAGAAACATTCCACTCATGGTACAGAATCATACCACTCCCGGTACAGCAGCATGCCGCTCATGGTACAGAAACATTCCGCTCATGGTACAGAATCATACCACTCCTGGTACAGCAGCATGCCGCTCCCAATACAGAATCATACCGCTAACAGTACAGAAGCATACCGCTCCCAATACAGAAGCATACCGCTAACAATACAGAAGCATACCGCTAATAGTACAGAAGCATACCGCTCACGGTACAGAAGCATGCCACTCCCAATACAGAATCATACCGCTCATGGTACAGAATCATACCGCTAATGGTACAGCAGCATACCGTTCATGGTACAGAATCATACCGCTCCCGGTACAGCCGCATGCCACTCCCAATACAGAATCATACCGCTAATGGTACAGCAGCATGCCGCTCATGGTACAGCAGCATGCCGCTCCCGGTACAGAATCATACCGCTCATGGTACAGAATCATACCGCTAATGGTACAGCAGCATGCCGCTCCCGGTACAGAATCATACCGCTCCCGGTACAGCAGCATGCCGCTCCCAATACAGAAACATTCCACTCATGGTACAGAAACATGCCGCTCATGGTACAGAATCATACCACTCCTGATACAGCTGTGTTGTGTTCTGCTTTTTAAGGCCCTGATGCTGACACTGTCAACAACATGACTGAAGAGGTGCAGCTACTGAAGTACAAAGTACAGCTTCTGGAAGAGGTACAACTGCACTCAGACAGGACAGTTTCAAGCTACAGTATAAGAAACAGTTTAACAAGAGCATCTTTCATGAGAACGACACCACCCAAATTAAGGTTGAATGAGCACAGACTAGTAGGACTTGACAGGCTGGTGTTCATCCCACAAAGAACCTTAGTCAGTTCAAACAGGACTTTCTTGAATCCAGTTCTTGAATTATTCCTACACAAAAAAACTTGCTTTAAATTTCTAAGGTGTGGGCAATTTTTCGATTTTTCAGACTTACTGCAAACATAAAGGCTGGAAATTAAAATAGCCAGCTTGAATACACTGCAGTTCAGCTGTTGATTCCCAAAATAGCGTACGGGGTTACATTTATTCTCTTTGGTCCACTGCAGAAGCTGCACCAGGCTCTGGCTCCTTTCACCAGCCTTTTCCCACTGTCCCTGGAGCAAAGTGTAGCTGAGAGGACGAGTTTCCTGACACAGTCCTTTCAGCAGCTGGAACGCATTGATTCGCTCAGTGAGCAGATCGGCTTTCTGGAGGAGCGCCTGGAGACCTGTGAGCATCCATCCATATCACCTACATCTCCTGTTCTCTTACAAGACTGTAGGGGCTTTTATTGCTTCTGTCTCACTTTTTTATTCTACTTTTTATCATTCCTTTAGCAATTTTCTCTTTTTCACTTTTCATGAACATCTATATATGTTTTGTACAGAAGACTCAATTCACCCTAGAAGTATCCTATCCTACTATATTCACGGATCACGATGACTTTATTTCCAATATTTGAAGAGCAACTACAGCTGGTGTACAAAGTCTGTCACACTGAAACAAACTACAGGGAATGAAGGCACCAGTGCAGAGCAAATGCCGTTTGACTGGCATATGAACAGGGTGGGGGTCATCAGAATGGCCCATCAGAAGGTCCACCTCCGGCTTTGACAACAAAACGTGTTCAACAGGCAATAACTTATCGGACCTAAACAGAGATACCAAATGGCTAAGATAAACCGAGATACCAGTTATTCTTAAACTAGATACAAGCTAAAACCTTACCTTAAAGTACTAAAAATGATACTTTAGACAGCTGCAATCAGTTGTGAGCATGTCATATATATAGTAAAGCAACAACTTTAAATATGGAGTAAATTTTGATAAAATTCCTAGTGTGTTTGAGGCTACACTGATGGTAGTGTTTTTCAACTTGCCATTTTGTTGAGACAGGTTCCTGTCAAGACAACTAAAGGGGAGATGAGAAGCACAGAGATTTTCACCAGGGGGAGGTTCTACGTCACCTGTGAAGCTGGGCCACTTCACAGTGCATCATTCGATGAGAACCACCCACTTCACAGTGCATCATTCGATGAGAACCACCCACTTCTGATCCACTGCGGAGGAAAAATCACGGAGCTGTCTGACCAATGGAACAATCAGTCCAGTCTTTTTAGAGAATTTGGAATGGACAGTACTAGGAAGTGGAAAACAGATATGTATTTCTAAAATGTTATGTCCTAATGCATTTTTAAGGGTTTTTTTAAACACCAAAACATATTGACACTGAATTCATCTCATGAGCGGTCACTAAACCATGCTTACATTAAAATCTGTATTTTAAGGCACAAGACTGGACACTGTTTAAAACAACAAAAATCAGGATCAGGGTTATATATTTGTTTACACATTCATCTCTCTAAACGAACTCCAGTCCCTCCTCTGAGCTCATCAGTACCAGAGGACATCAAGTTGACTATTTATGTATTTAAGTTAATATTTTGAGTGTTTGTATAGATTTGATAAATACACAGGTAGTTCATTACATAATTAAATTCATTTTCCAAAAAAAGCTGGTCTGTTTTAAAAATAAGTCAGGTTGTGTTGATAGTTTCCCAACAATACACATAACATACTCAAACACACCCAATTCTCAGTTGTATGTAAAATAAAAAATATTTCATTTGAATGCAATTAAACAAAAAAAAAATACATATTGACTTTTAATTAAATATGACACCTGTACAAATTATTTTTACCTCTTTATATCTAAAAGACAATTTAACACTAATACATAAATCAATATATCACCACAGAACAGGCAACAGAATGGATTCAAGCCAAGTGTAATTTGAGGATTATCCAGCAGGGTTCTGTCAGTAGCACAACACACAACCCCTAGTAACTTCCACTGTAAACGGGTTAGTAGCTGTCAAGTTCATTTGCAAAGCTTTAACGAAGGAGAAAAAAAAAGAATCTTTACACTGTATATTCAAACTGCCAGATGTCACCATGTCTCTCATATTAATGCAGTTTCAGGCTAGAAGACTGGAGCTGAAAGCATCCCTGCTTATAAGGACATCACATATACGCTGATGAGCTTTATATATATTTGTTCTCTCTTGCAGGATAAACAAATGTCCTTAAATGAACAGTAGTGCTTCACATAACCATTTCTAGGTGACTATTGTGCTTATCTATACATAGAGTAATAATTTCTTACGCAGGTTTCAACACATTTTTTCAAAGTGTGATAAGATTAAGAGTCATAAGTACTAAAGAATCGTTAACATGCCTCAGTGAGCAGTGCTGGTTTCTCAGTCACTGGTAATAATTTCACTGGTTTCTCAGCGTACGATGTGAAGCCCTCATATAGCAGCCAGGAATCCAGACTGTGTGTGGAGCTTGTAAAGTGTCACTTGCATTGTTTCTCTGTGACATCATCATTGTTTCTCTGTGACATCATCATTGTGCGCATGCCACACTGCTGACCATGCATGCAGGAAACAGAACGGACACCAGTCCTGTGCACCGCTAAGAACCCCCAACCTAATACTGAGGATTTTCTATATGATTTTTTGGCAAATTTTTCCCCCCCCCTTGCCATAGGGAAATTCCTGACTGTGAAAAGATCAGTTTATTTATGCAAATCTAGCAAAACTCTTTCTGTTTTCCTGATGGAATGTCCTGGACATTAAAAACCTGGACAATGGTCTTACACCTTAGAATAACATATACATTGGATGCTGTGAATATTTGTAGCGTGACTGAGTTTTACACAACTCTCCAGGGCACAGACTTATTAGGAGAGCACGCCGAGTTACACAGGGTGGGATACACGCCTTTGATTATACAAGCGAGTGACGTAGAGTAGGGAAGCACGTCAGAATGGCGGACGGGGGGTGAAAAGACGTACCACAACACTGGAATAAAATTATAACCCTTTTACATAACAATAATCATTGTGTGAGCTGTTAGGCAACTGGGAATGGAAGTTGGGAAGACAAGAGAGGAGGATAAAATGAAGGGGTAAAATAGGTAACTGAACAGAAAGGCAAAAAAAAAAAAAACCCACAAATTTCCACTTGACGAATACACACTTATACATAAACATCAAACCAGACAAAGGGGATTTGGAGTAAGAGAAAGTTACAAATAGGAGAGAGAAGGCAAAAAAAAAAAAAATCACCAAACAGCAAGCCATCGGAAGGCGGGCACGATGAATGTGCTTCTATAACAGGCTCTGCCATCAGGACTACAGTACAAAGTCCACGGGACTCACCCAGGCCCAGCTGGGAATGAGCAGCTGAAACCCACACCGTGTGTCAAAAGTACTAACCAGTTGCGTTAGTAGAGGCTGAGGTCAGGCGTTTAACTGACACTCCACCCAAAAGCCTGAGACAGGCTCCAACTCCTCCTCCCCATCTAATGTTCTCTAGAGGTGGCCCGAAGCCACCAGAGAAACCTGTAAGGGAGCATGCTGGCCTTCCCCCAACCCGCCACGCCCACAGCTTAAAGACCAATGAAACAAGCATGCTGTGTAAAGCTGCTACCACCGTCACCATGTGGATCATGTGGATGGGCGGGCAGGTGGGGCCGGCCGCCAGCCAGGGCCCGCCTAATGGCTAGAGGCTCCGTTGCTGTGAGCAGCCTTGTCGGAGATCTCCATGAACGCGGAGCGCATGATCTTGTAGGATTTGTCCGAAAGAGCGGAAATGTCATCCGTGGTCATGCCCTTGGTCTCGATCTTTGGGAGGATCTTCAGGTTTATCGTTCCTGGAGGGAGGCAGTGGAGAGGCAGGCAGTACTTAGAGATCTGGAGGTGTTTGTAGGCTTTGACCACCACACTAAGGAGAGACACTTCAGCAAAGGCTGACTAAGCATTTCCTAATGAATATCTAGAGTAAGGAAGTGACTCGCTTGCCAGTTTCTGCTTTATATAAGAGTGATTAGAATGCCTTAAGCAATGTCCCACCTGCTTTCTCGCTTTACTAAAGTATCACACCACAATGCAGACTGTCCCTTCCCAATATCAGGTCATTTTTAAATCTGGAATTTTCTCTGGACTATATTTCCCAACAGAAGACACCAGGATTTTTTGAAAATTAGACATTATCAAAAGATTTTGAGTGATGCATTACCAGATCGAAACTGCTTTTCTTTGCGCAAGTAGAAGTTACTGTAGGAGGAGAAGACAACTGGGATGATGGGAACCTGAAAAGCAAGAATGGGAGTTAGCAGAAACGCGTGGAGCTGCGCGCAGTAGAAATGGAGGGAAAAACTGCAACCAAACAGCCAGCAGGAAGAGCTGGCTTTGGACAAATGGTTCTTTGCTAAAAGGACAATAGAAAAGGACCCACTGTGGGGGAAGGGGGATTGCAGACCAAGCCTGTAAATATATGTGTACAGCTATGTGTATGGCTAATAATAGTGTGTTAACTGGTCTTGTGGAAAGTCAGAGACTGGGTCACTGGGGGAAGCATTTGGTTCCTGGTGAGGATCCAGGGAATGTGCGTTGTTCTGTGGTGACCAGCACAGCTATCTCCAGTGCTAAGGCAGCCCAAACACAGTTAGTCCCGGCCCTAAGGCAGCCCAAACACAGTTAGTCCCG